TTGTCCCGATCCGATCGCCATGTCGGACATTGAAGATTGGGGCCGCGCGGAGGCCGGGTCTTGTCTTTCTTGTTTTTGGTGGCGTTTTTCATGAGGCGAGCGGACCTTCCAAAGGCCCAACACTCAAGTTGATGTTTTAAGGCGTGGTTTTGTGTGTTTGAAGCAAAGGTCATGGCCAATTGGCGTTTTTTGTTTTTGTTTTTTGCCTTTGGACCTCTTTTCGGTTCTACTGCAGACCACTGCGCCGATTTTTTCGGCCAAAAGCCCCAGGTGACCTCCAAGTGCGTGGGGGCCATGACCTGCCGGGTCTTGGCGCCGGAGATCTTCCGGGAGGTGGTTGCGCGCTCCAAGCCGGCCCTGGGGCCGGGGAACTTCTCGGAAGTGGGCAAGGAGGGGGGGGGGGAGACGTTTTTTCTTCTTCTTCTTCTTCTTTTCCCCCCCTTTTTTTATGTGTGGCCGAATGTTTTTTTTCTTCTTAGGGGGAAGGGAGTTTTGGTCGGTTCTTGAAGCGAAGCGGAAAACTAAAAGTTGAAAACCACATTTTTTGTTGGGGGGGACCCTAACAACAGACACACCCATATGATATCGCCCTAGTGTAGTTATCTGGTCATGATATCACAACCACATTTTTCGTCAAGCGCTGCCACTACATGTTTAATATTTTTCTATCCGGCCCACAGATTTGTGTTCCAGGACATTGCCTCTGCGGAGGAGTACACTGCAGTCCGCCAAGCGATCTTCAGCTGCCCATTCAAAGCGATCCGCTGGAGCAGACAGCCGAGGGTGAGATTGGAGCAACTGCCACCTCTCTACGAAGGCTTTCCCAAACGGATTGAAGACAACGTTTACTTTATGGGCCACCCGGATGCCAACACCTTTGCATGTGCCGGCTTCTTCATCCGGCACGAGGGTCATAATATTTTGATCGACCCGCCAATCGCGCATCCCAAGCTTTTGGAGGCAGTGCAGCAGATGGGTGGAGTGCAACACTTGTGTTTTACCCATGTAGATCACACTGGGAATGCCACCGCCTGGTATGAAGCAACGAAGGCATCCCGACTGATGCACAAGGACGATATGGTCGAGGCAGAAAATAAGTACACTCCATTTCCAGTCACCAAAGGCTTCGAGCATCTTTTGGAGCTCAAAGCAGGGGAAACCACGGCCTTGGAGGGCCTGGCTGAATTTCAGATCATTCACACACCCGGCCACACAGCTGGGAGCATCATGTTTTTGTACAAGAAGAAGTTCCTCTTCACGGGGGATTCATTGCATTACTCAGCTGTCAAGGGACATCTGGTTGCGGCCCGTGTCCAATGCTGGCAGAGTTGGGAGTTGCAGACTCAAAGCCTCCTGGTCAACATCTTTCAGGTGCATGTGTTTGCTTAAATGTTGCTTAAATATCTTTGTTGGGCTACCTTTGGCCCTTTACTAGAAGCACTCTGGCTTTTTTTTTTGGGTTTTTTCTTCTTCTTTTTTTCTTCCTCGTTTTCCGAAAGAGAAACAGCACATGGTCAGACGTGTCTTTCTCCGCTTTTTCTCCGGCGCATCCAAGGTTTTCAGGCTACTCTTCATTGCTGGTTTGGCTTGGTGGTTTGACAAATTGAAGCCCTGCTTCTTGTAGAGGGCAGATGGCGTTTAACCGCTAAACCACCACTTCGAGGCAAGCTGAGGTTTGGAACACCTCCTTTGGCCCTTTACCAGAAATGCCTTGGCTGTTTTTTTGTGGTTTATGTCTTTGTTTTTGGAATTCAGGAGCAACAGCACATTGCCGTGTGTTCCTTTCTCCGTTGTTTTTTCTCCAGCGCATCCTTCCCAGGTTTGGAACGCCTGCCACAGGACTTCCAGTGGGTCCTGCCCGGGCACGGCGATTGGCGGCGCTTCGAGAGTCCCGGCGCCGCCCGCGCCAGCCTGGACCGCTGCGTCTGGTGGATGAAGCGGCAGGGCGGAGGCCGGACCTGGCTGCCGTGGCTCGGCGTCTTTTCGTTTTATGCTTTTTGCTTTGTTTTGTTTTTGGGGGGAAGGGGAGGGGATCTGTAGAGGTTGTTGGAATGAAACCCGTTCGGGATGTTTTTTTTTGGGGGGGGGCAAGAAGAGGGGATCTTTAGAGGTTTTTGGAATAAAGCCCGTTCGTCTTTTTTTTTTTGGGGGGGGGAAGGGGAGGGGATCTGTAGAGGTTGTTGGAATGAAACCCGTTCGGGATGTTTTTTTTTTGGGGGGGGCAAGAAGAGGGGATCTTTATAGGTTTTTGGAATAAAACCCGTTCGTCTTTTTTTTTTTTGGGGGGGGGGGAAGGGGGAGGGGATCTGTAGAGGTTGTTGGAAACCCGCTTCGGGATGTTTTTTTTTTGGGGGGCAAGAAGAGGGATCTTTAGAGGTTTTTGAATAAAACCCGTTCGTCTTTTTTTTTTGGGGGGGGGAAGGGAGGATCTGTAGAGGTTGTTGAAAGTGAAACCCGTTCGGGATGGTTTTTTTTGGGGCAAGTAAGATGATCTTTAGAGGTTTTTGGAACAAAAAAACCCGCTCGGCCTTTTTTTTTTTGGGGGGGGGGAGGGGATCTGTAGATGTTGTTGGAATGAAACTCGTCAGATGTTTTTTTTTTGGGGGGCAAGAAGAGGGGATCTTTAGAGGTTTTTGAATAAACCCGTCTGCCTTTTTTTTTGGGGGGGGGAAGGGGAGGGGATCTGTAGAGGTTGTTGGAATGAAACCCGTTCGGGATGTTTTTTTTGGGGGGGGGCAAGAAGAGGGGATCTTTAGAGGTTTTTGGAATAAAACCCGTTCGTCTTTTTTTTTTGGGGGGGGGGAAGGGGAGGGGATCTGTAGAGGTTGTTGGAATGAAACCCGTTCGGGATGGTTTTTTTTGGGGGGGCAAGAAGAGGGGATCTTTAGAGGTTTTTGGAATAAAACCCGTTCGTCTTTTTTTTTTTGGGGGGGGGAAGGGGAGGGGATCTGTAGATGTTGTTGGAATGAAACCCGTTCGGGATGTTTTTTTTTTGGGGGGGCAAGAAGAGGGGATCTTTAGAGGTTTTTGGAATAAAACCCGTTCGTCTTTTTTTTTTTGGGGGGGGGAAGGGGAGGGGATCTGTAGAGGTTGTTGGAATGAAACCCGTTCGGGATGTTTTTTTTTTGGGGGGGCAAGAAGAGGGGATCTTTAGAGGTTTTTGGAATAAAACCCGTTCGTCTTTTTTTTTTGGGGGGGGGGAAGGGGAGGGGATCTGTAGAGGTTGTTGGAATGAAACCCGTTCGGATGTTTAAAACAGGATCTTTAGAGGTTTTTGGAATAAACCTGTTCGTCTTTTTTTTGTTGGGGGGGGGGAAGGGGAGGGAATCTTTAGAAGTTTTTTGGAATGAACCCCGTTCGTGTTTTGTTTTGGGGGGGAGGGGAGGGGATCTTTAGAGGTTTTTGGAATGAACCCCGTTCGTGTTTTGTTTTGGGGGGAAGGGGAGGGGATCTTTAGAGGTTTTTGGAATGAACCCCGTTCGTGTTTTGTTTTGGGGGGAAGGGGAGGGGATCTTTAGAGGTTTTTGGAATGAACCCCGTTCGTGTTTTGTTTTGGGGGGAAGGGGAGGGGATCTTTAGAGGTTTTTGGAATGAACCCCGTTCGTGTTTTGTTTTGGGGGGAAGGGGAGGGGATCTTTAGAGGTTTTTGGAATGAACCCCCACAAGGTGAACCTCTTGTGCTTTTTTTTTGGGTGGGGAGGGGGGAGCCATCAAGGTGGTATGTGATTTGGATCGAGTGCCGAAAGCTGCCGCCTGGTCTTTTCACCTGGTTGGCCGACAGCTTCTTGATGACGCAGCCTGGACTTTTAGTGGATCAGGGCTCCTTAAAAGATACATGTTGCCAATTTGAAACATGGCTTTTTCCACCAAAATAAAGGGAACCAACCATTTGTAGAATGTAAGGATCCCTGTGGATGCGTGTCTTCTTGTTCTTGATGTTTTATTTTCAGGCGCCGCTGAAGCATAAGCGATCATGTATTGCTTGGGTTACTACCTGGGAGTCTCCATGACCCTTAACAAATGGGTCCATGACCCCTCAATTTTGGGGTAGTGACCCCATTTTTTCGGGGTCATGGAGACTCCAGGCATCTCTCTTTGGGCGTCCTAAGCAAATCCAAGGCAAGGAGCGAAGGATTCGCTTCCCAATTGGACACTGCCATCTTGGTTCACATCCTTGGTACTGCTAGTCCCTCCTGCCATGCTTCTGTTCTGCGCGATGCCGTGGACGACTCTAAAGCGAGCCCTGCCGCTTTGATTCTCAAGACTCTTGAGTTGGAGTCTCGGCCCATGGTCTGTGAGTGTTCTTTACACGGGGGCCAAGTGTGTGAAAACCATGCCCCTCCCTTGAGCCAAGAGGGGCATGTCACAAACAATTGGCCTCACCCTGTTGATTCCCTCGATTGTCCAGCGAACAAGCGGCCCGAAGCGATGGCGGCATGTGTATAGCGACTGGAGCTTTCTTGCTGCAAAGTTGGGCGTGGGCCAAAAGGTTTGCGCGATGCTGCGCGCTTCTAGTATTCGCCGTGTTTTGACAATGTGGTGGTTTATTGGTGGCTAATCATCAGACTCGGACCTCAATGATTGCAGCACTGCCACCCTGGGCGACAAGGCCTTTGCAGGCCTTCTGCCGCACAAATGCCTTCGGCTTTGACAAGGTTTCCCGACCAAAGCCCCAATCGAGATCTACACGGTGAACACGGCGTCGGATGTGGTGGGATTTGGCTGTTCGCCTGCCGTCATGAGCCCTGCAGCCCTTCCATTGGTTTTCTTCGTTTTGCTGCACCCTCCAGTGCTTACAAACTCTGAGCGAACGCGACACAAAGCACCCTGCAACCAAACCGACCCTACCCCTACCAACGCTAACCTCAAACCACCTTAAACCCGCCCTAACCCAACCCTAATCACACCCTAAACCAACACTAAGCCCCCCCACCCCCCAGGCCACCCCTAAACCAGCCAAGGTGTCCCTCTAAAATGTCTTCCTAAAGTTGGCCCAAAAGGTCTACGACTTCAAGAGCCGCCTGCGGGGCTTGTTGTCCGCAACTCCTTGGAGGGAGGTGGAGGACATGGCCATGGAGCACAGCCGCCTGCGCCTTGGTCCAGTGAAAGTAAATGCAGGGATTCAACCACCAACCGGTGCAGGTTTAGAGCCGTCCGAGACAAGGGTGCGGGCCCTAAGATGGTCTGAAGCCCAGAAGGGAAGCCCCCTTGCAATCGGCCGGGGCTTTATGAATCTGGGGTTCCCATTACTTGGAAGTTGTTACCTGTGAAACGCGATAGCCCACGAACTTAGGGGGACTTACAAGTGGGTTATCGCCTAGGTTATCAACAACTTACTACCTTGGCCGAACGTCCAAGTAGCTTTGAGGCTTTGCCGGGGTTGCATGGCGGTCGCTGAATAGAACGCTACCATTTGAGGTGAGTTGCGGGTTGGATCTCGGTGGCACTATCCTCCCTCGAATCGACCGCTTTCCCGTTCCAAGTTTTGGTCATGGCCCCAAAATGTTCACCTCTTGTTTTGGGGTCCCTTCCGGGGCAACTGACCCACATCAATCTAGTGGCTGTTGTTGATGCCGAGCAAATGTGGAATCTCACAATGACTTCTTTTTTCTTTGTGGCGGGTGAAGCCCATTGCCGATTTTTTGCAACGGCTTGGGCCTTTGGGCGTCTTTGTTCACCCCGGAGGTGCGCTCGGAGCATGCTCCGCATCGAGGTCTTCCAGCAGTTCTGCCTCTGGCGCCTGGCGACTTCGCAGGGTAAAATGGTGGTCGAGCTGGAGCCCGAGGAGCTGACGGCCGACGGCCGCGGAGGAAAAAAACGGGCTCGCTGGGTAGGTAGTTTTTGTCTTCCATGTGCTGAAGTGGAAATATTTGTGAGTTTCTCTTGGTTTTGAAGAGAAGGGACTTCACTACTGGACATATTTTTGATTTTATCAGGGGTCTGCAGCAAATGGCAGTTGTTGGTCGTTGCTTTTGGGGGCCCCGGATGTTTTGTTTGCCTGGGTTTGGCGGGCCGTGTCTTTAGCTGCTGTTTGCGTTTCTCCGCGCTGGCTTGTTGGCTTTTTTGGTACGCCGGTGCAAAAAACAGTTCCTTGTTCTGGCATGCCAAGGGTTGAAGCCGGGCACTTAAGGCAATACCTCCTCCCGCCGCTGTTGGGGGTGGGGGGATATCACCAGCTGTGGGCTGGGGGGCCGCGCCACATCCAGCTGTGCCCCCTTTTGACATTCCCAGTTCCCTTGCTGAAGGAACGGTCAAATAGCATGTAAGTCCAGGGCCCGGCCGTCAGGATCCCCCAAATTGGCGACTGGGGCCATATTAATTCGGGGTGTCCCTCTAATGTTGGCCCCTGGTGGGTGTGAAAATCAGGCGTGAACATGAAGCGCATGTGTTTTTGAGTCATGCCAAACTGATAAAAAAATCAACTCTGGCAAAGGCCCTCCACTACGCCAACTTGGAGTGAGGAGTGTGAGATGTCGCACTTGGCGGAGGTCTACCGCGTCACCGCGGCCAACCGCGACTTCTTGGCCTACCAGCTGCTCCCAAGCCTCCGGACGCCGCGCTTCGCACCACCTGCAGCGTCCGTGTTTGTGGGCCCGGTGGTCTTGCAACTTCCCCAGAATTAGCTCCTCTTTTTTTGTCTTCTTCCTTTTTTGGGGTCCTTTTGTTTTCCAGCAACCAGAGAAAGAAAAAAACAGATGCACTTTTGCCGGGGCCCGATTTTTCCAGAGGCAAGTGGTCTGCCTGGGCCGCGGAGTGGCCCGGCAGGCGATGCAAACGGCTGGAAGCTGAATCTTTTTGGTCGCCTCGTTGTTTGAGCTTCGTTAAAGAAATCTCCCTCATGTGAGTCGTTGGTTGTTTGAGCTTCCTAAAAAACGTCTCCCTCATGTGCATCGTTTGTAGAGAAAAGTAGGGGCCCTTCTTGGCATCCCCCTTTTGTATTTTTTTCAAAAGGCGGCACCAGTTGCGGCACCTCCCAAAAGGGTCACATGTTTTGACAACATAGGGGAATGTGCTTTTGCAGGGTAGCCATTGTCGCCTCTCCAAAACCTGGCAGTTCCGTTGCCCCTTCCATTTGCTTTTCAGAATAGTTTTTTGTTTTCCCTCGTTGGTTTCAAAAGGAAATTATCACTATACCGGACATATTTTTCAATTTTCATTTTTGCCCAGGGGTCCAAACCAATTGGCTGCCAGTGTCATGTACATACAGGGGACTAGCCCGCTCCAAAGTGACGCAGGGGTCCAAAAAAAAATGGTTCCGCTCATTCCCAGCCGCCTGCCCTGCAGGGGATGGCCATGCTGCGCCAAGCGCTGAAGTTGCGCTCCTCCTGGGCCCTGCGGATCTTCGTGCTGTCGGATGCGGAGGGCTGGGCGGACTGGCGACATGACATAATCAGAGGTGCGTTTTGCTTGGATTTTAGGACTTTGCTTTTTGCCAACTAGTGGGTTTTCCATGAAACCACTGAAAGTTTAGCTTTTAGCAGGGGAGCAGAAAGCAACCTAAGGCTTCTCCCCACCATCAAACTGGACGCCACCCGGACCCCCGTTTTTTCAACTTCTTGGGCCATTTTGGGCGTCCCTTTTTCCACCCCCGACAGGTTTGGGGTGATTGTCCATCGGACTTAAAGCAGCATCTTTAACACTTCTGCCCGTTTGGGTTTCCTTGAAGTTTTCTTTTACCCGGCAACAGTTCACTTTTTACAAGGGTAGTTTCCCTTTCAACTTGCAAAAGTTCACTTTTTTTCTGTTCCCCCGGGCCTTTTGGCCAGGCAACAGGCGGTCGAGGAGCTTCGGACGGAGGTGTCGCTAGAAGGCGTCAGCTTTGAAGCGGTGCATTTTGAGCGGAGCCCGCAGTTCCAAGCCTACCTGCAGCTCGGCCAGGCGGTTCGCACCCTGCTGCGGTTTTTGTTGTTGTTCTTTCTTGTTTTTCTCTATGGCTTGTGCTGCGGCGGGTTCTCTCATGTTGACCCCATATTCATCAACCAACCAGTTTATTAATAGGGGTTGTTTTGCGGGATTAGTGTTAGTAGCCGGTGTTGTCCTTTGAAGTTCCAAGCTTCTTTCACGTTTGTTTGCAGTGGCAGCGTTGCAAGGGCATTTGCAAAGAAGCAAAACAGATTGTTACATTGTCTGCACACTTGCAAAGGCAATAAGTTTCGCACCCTTTTGTGTTTTTTTCCACGCAAACTGGTGGCTTGTTCCAACGCGGCGGGTTCTATGATGAATTCAGATTTTAGCCCCGAAGTAAGGAGAAAGTACCCGGCGGAGTGCATGTTTCAGAATGCTGTCGAGAGGGCAATGTTGGCCCGAGTGCTTTGTCATGAGCTGCTGCTCAGTTCAAGTAGTTAGCAACCTTGTTGGTTGCCTATCTTCAAGTTGAAGTCTATGCGGCGCTGCGCGTACGCACGCAAACAAGAGCGAGAGACAACGAGAAGTCATACTGTGAGTGGATGAAATCGTGCACCACTTCGAAACCATGGCAAACCCATCATTCCAGGGTTTCTTAGGCGGTGCGAAATGGATTTCGTCCATCCACAGCATGCAAGTGCACATACAGCTCGCGCACGCGCGCGAACTCTCAGGGCCAGCCACCAGAGACCAGGGAGCGCACATTGCTTTAAATCAGGATGCTGGGCAATTTAACTGGCCTCATGATTTTACCATGATCAAAGCATATCAAAGCACCCCCTCAGTGATGGATTAAAGGGAAACAACTCATTTTCTGACTTTGACAACCCCTAGAAACAAACAAAAATATGACCCAAGTTTAAGTGCGTGCTATTGGGTGGTCTGAATCTTCTAGGTCCAAGTTTGGTCTCATTGAGAGTTGCAATTTCAAGTCGAAGCATGGACCTATGCTGAAGCTGTCGGGCCGCAGAAGCTGTCGGGCCGCATGCCATGTTCACGTGCCGCGCCGTGGGAAGCTTCTGGCTTCCATTTGTCTCCTATGCGGGTTAATCAAATGGAAGCTCGTCATATGTCAATGGCTCAGATGCCAAATCCGGAGCTATGCCTGAGGCTCATTTGTTCCCACCAAATCCCCGGGCGGGAGACTGCACGAACACATGAAACCCCACACGCAAGCACGCACGCGCACGATTCCGCCTTCCAGACTGAGTGCATGGCAGAGCTGAGGCTTCCAAACGACATCAGCCACGTGATTTCCATGGATTTGGGTGATGTTTTGATTTTGGAGGATCTCTGGCATCTCTGGGTCCTGCAGGAGGAGTCATCGTCCACATCTTTGCTCCAGGCGTCCCTTGCTGGGGCGCTGCATCACGTGAACGCGGGGGTGGTGCTGTACCACACAGCGCGCATGCGCGAGGCCAACTTTACCGATCTCAGCCTGCAGGCGGCGCACGCGGCCTTTGAGCAGGGCAAGCAGCACGCGGCATCGCTGGAGTGCCCCAGGGACCAGGCGATACTGAACCAGCTGCGCCTTGGATCTTGGAAAGGGCCCGTGCCTCTCTATTCAGCAGAGGGCTGAAGGCGACAAACGGGGGTCTCTCAAGTCTACAAGTGAAAGAAATCGGCCATGGGTCGCCCACGTGGCGGGCCCACGTTGGGGCCCGTTGAGTGAACCCATGGTCGGTGGATGTTGGGCCCCTTGCCCTCTCGAGTCTACAAAGCGAAGCACCGGTTGCCCTCTTTCGAATGGAAGTCTGGGAGCTTCGGAGGCCGGGTGTGCTGTTTTTCCAGTTCAGTTAGATTTAAATCTGCTTCCCTCCGATTCGATTGGTGGCTTGGAGTAGTGATGTGGGTGGTTTCCCATTTGCCCTCAAACAACAAGAGTTCAAATTCCCAAACCGCCAATCCAAACCACCAATCAAGGGCAACCTGATTAAAGGGCAGAAGAAGCCGCCAGTTTGGGTCGGAGGCACGAGGACGGCACGGCAGTCATCGGCTTTCTCCCGTGCCGCTGGTCCCTGTTCCCCGTGGTGGACGGCTGGCGGAGAAAGTCGGTTGCTTTTCTTTTTTTCTCCTTCCGGTTTGGACCCTGCCGTGTTTTGGGATCAGGTTTGCTTGTAGTGTGTTGCCAGGGCATGCTAGAGCTGGTGTTTGCTTGTGTCCTCCTTGTTAAAAGAGGCTGTGGGTCAAAAATAAGATCCCCCAAATGGAACCCTGGTACATGGACACATGGACTAAAACCTGCGGTCCAATTCCTCGTGGCTTAATTTTGACCCATACCCATGTTTAAAAACAACAAGGGCCCAATGTGCCCAGGACTGGCACCCCGCCTTCCTTTCGCGCACGGAGACCCGCGCGCTGTGGCGCCCGGAGCTCTTCGAAAGGCTGAGGTACCCGGGGCTTCTTGCCGCGGAGCACGTGGAGTTCCACTGCCCCGAGGCGATGGGGGGAGAAGGCGGGTAGGATAAGGAACGCGCAAAATGTGTATATACGTATGAATGTATATGTGTAAACATGACATACAAATATATTTATTTATATAGATGTATATCTGTATACCTATATTATATACACAAATCTACATACATCTACACATCTATACATCTACATACAGAAGCATATGCTCAAATAAATGGGCGGCTCGTCTTTTTGATGATTCGACCACCAAACAAGTATTTGAAAAACATGTGGTTTGCCTCGTGGTTTCCCTTTGAAGCTACCAATGTCGGGGTACTCTCTCAAAAAACATACCTTTCCCAAAGTTAGCGGACACGGGGTCTAGATGCGTTCTGATGGCTTGCGCCAAAGCAACAACATGTGTAGCCTCCAGTGCGGTTGTGATCGAAGCCAAACGAGTTGATCACGTGGGAGGGCCAAGAAAATCGCCGTCAAGGTCGTCAAATATCTCGTTGACCGGACCGCTGCAAATGAGTTTTTACTTGGATGTTCGGCCAAGTTAGCCAGTGGTCTTCTGGGTTATTCGCGAATAACGAGGTGAATTCTATTGAACGGGGGACGTACAAGTGGCTCATTACCAGCAAACAACTTGTCCACGAACACCCAAGCAGACTTCCAAAAGGCAAACCGAAAGGAAGGCCACATTTATTTATTTATTTATTTATTTATTATTCATTTATGATGTATGAATTTGATGGGGGGACCAAAAGCGTTATTCCCAAGCAGAAACAATTCAACGAGTTGGTCGCGGCGTTGCGGCGTTGCGGTTGTCGTCCGAAGGCAGCGGAGCTTTTGGCAGCCTTTGCCTTCTTGCCCGGCTCGGAGAAAGGCCCCGGCAAGGCCCGCGGCTTTGCTGGGCCCAAGATGGCGTCCGGAAAGCCCCGGCGGATTTTTCCCAAAACTGGGAGGGGGTAGGCGGAGCAAGAGTCAAGCGAAGTTTTCTTTTGTTTTGGGGGATCCATTTGGGTGGTTCTTTTCTTTTGAGGTTACCCCCTCCCAACAAAAATATATCAATTATCAACTTTATATATGACACATATACATATATATATATATATCAACTAAATGCTACAAATGTAGCCCCTAATCTCCCTTCTTTGGGGGTCGTAAACATCGCTGTGTGACTTGAAGTGGGGCGAGGGGAAGTGGCCGATCCTGGTGGCGGCTTGGCATTGAAATCAAGAGCAACAAAAAACAACTTCAAATAGCTTAATTTAAATTGGAATGGGACACACATAGGGTCAAGGGAAGCACCCAAAGGTAACGAAAACAACTTTGCGGGTTTGTGGGGAGATGGTGCTCGCCCGGTTTTGGACATGTCCCAACAGACATGCCTGGGGGCCAGTCGATCGTTGTTGCTCTTGGGTACGCCCGAAAATGGTTTCCCTGCGGTTTTTTGGTCCCGTCCTTCTCCGCCTCCCATCAGGTGCAGCAGCTGGCGGCGCTGGCGGAGGCGGCGGCGCGGCCCGAAGTGCGGCACGGCTGCGCCTGCGGGGAGCCTTGGGCCAAAGGCTGGCCGCAGTATCCTGAGACAGGACCCATTTGGGGTACTTAAAGGGGCATTGAAATTAGTAAGTGGTTAGTAAGCCTTAGATCCCACTTAGGAAACTTATAACCATGGTAAGTGGGTTATAACCAGGCTTACTAACCACGTACTAAGTACAATACCCCTTTAAGTATGGCTCAAAAGGAAAGAGCTGGGGTTACTTAGCGGGTTTTGGTCTTTTTTTTCTTCTCCATTTGCCAAGATGTCATTTTGGTTCCACTTGTTTGAGCCACAGCCATGTAGTCTGGCATTGCCAGAAGGCCTCGGACATAGAAGGTCCACCTTTTGGTTGGTAGTTTGGAGCAAAGAGGAGTTGCCATTGCCACATGGGTACCCTTTCAGGTTGATGAATTGGACAACCGACAATTTTAAGCAAGCCTCAGTTGGGGTGCTTGAAAGCCGTCATCACGTGGCAGTAGGTTTGGAGCACTGCTGCTTGAGAAACCTGAGCCTTGTTGAAGGAAGCGGGTCCCAAAAAACTGATGTTTCCCAAAATGCGGGTCCCATGTGGCAATGGCTTCCTGTCCCTTCAAACTACCAAAAGGGGGTGTGCCAGGCAGTTTCGGGAGGGATCAGCCTCCTAGTCTTGCTGGTTCCCGGCAGGGACTGAGGAACCCTCTGTAACTCGTCCCATGTTGCTTTCGTTTAGGTCTCGAAACGGTTGATCCCAAAGCGCCCTTGTCAGCCTGTTGATTTCCTGGGGATCGGCAGATGCTCCCCTACAGCTTGCCCCACACCCCACCATGTTTAGCACCGCAATCTCATTTTGGGGAACGGGCCTCTCTTTCTTTTTGGCAACTCATGTCAATCTGTAGACTGAAAACATATTGTCAGATGCTGTTTCATGTTCGATGCACCGTAACGTTTGTTGATAAACAATGGAGGAGTTCCCAGCCATCCGCTTAGGCTTTTAGGCTTTTTAGTTGGTTCAGTGGTAGTGTCCATCCAGCCCACTACGAGCAACTTTTTCTCGGGGATCAGAAGCCGGACAGCCCAGGACTTTTTCGCAGGGGAGCAGCGTCCTTTTTGGGATCTCCAAAAGTGGGCGATTTTGCTGGAGGCCACCAGTCCTTTGCCACTAGGAGGAACTCCAGTGACCCCTGCAACCTCAGAGAGTTTTTCCTTTTTCTCGGGGATCAGAAAGCGGACAGCTCAGTTTCTTTGCGCCCCCTCTTCACTTTCCGTGGCCACGCCGCAGAGCTTTCGGCCGGCCCTGGCCGCGAAAAAAAAAAAAAGCGGATCCGAGGAGAGGGCGAGCTTGGCGCACGTGGCCGGGGATCTCAAGGCCTGGCCGGCCATGCGGCGGTTCCTGGCGGCGGGGAGGCCAGGCTTGGAGGAGGAGGAGGGCCGCGCGGTTGCCTCCGGCGCAGGCGGTTTTTGTTTTTTTTGCGCGTGATGGTGTGTTTCTCTGTGTTTGTGTGTGTTGTGCGGTCCTCTATGTCTTTGGTTGTGTGCTTCCTTGCCTTCTTCAGCTCTTTGGTTTTGCTTCTTTCAGTTTTCCGCGAGGCGCCCTGGTTCCCGGGCGTTCCGAGGCCTTCCGAGCCCCAGCCGGCAGTGGTGGGGCGGAGCCGCGCGGAGCAGCCGGCTCAGGGAGCAGAGCCAGCAGCAGCTCTTCCTCATGGCGAAGCGCCCCGAGGAGAAAAAAGGTCGGAGTCGGGGGTGGGGGGTTGGGGGGGGGGGGTTGCTCAGTTCATGGGCGCGCTGCATTGCCCTAAAGATGGCAAGGGGAGCACGTGGTGGTTGTTGGGAAACATGTTTTTGTTTTTCTTCTTTTTTTCCTCTAATTTTTGTGTAAATTGTGGTTTCGTGGTTGAAATCTAGCCGCTGAACTGCTGATCTGAAATGTTGTGCTCCCCTTCCAACATCAACCGCGAAAGTTCGGGTGCGCTGCAGGCCCTGAAGGATGGCAAGGGGAACAAGGAAGTTGCCCCTAATTTGCCGTTTGCCATGGATGCGTGGTTGAGACTTGCAATATGTAGGGCGTAAGCCCGAAGTAGTTGCTTCTCTAGTTGCCTAAGTGCACTTTATATTTTCCCCGGTTGGGTTGAAAGGGGACTTATCACTATCGGACATATTGCATTTGTTCAACGAAACTCAAGCAAATGGTGTTGTTTTGGTTTAGAGCAATTGGGGCTTCCTGATACTATAGCTCACTTGTCCATTGGCCTTTTGTTTGTTTTGTTTTTGTTTGGTTCCGAGGGCATAACCATTGTTTCCAGGGCTTGAGGATGCTGCCCCTATTTGTCTGTCTGGCTTTTTTTGGGGGGGTTTGGTTGGTGGTGCAATATGGGATCGCAACATCCGTGGCTCTCCCGGAGCTTGTGGACTTGCAGCAAGCAGAAAGTTTGGAGGCTTGGCCAATGCGCTCAAGGAAGTGAGAGGCTGGCGACCAAGGGAACCTTTCAAGAGACTTGACAGACAAATGTATGCATCAGGTTTTGTGTCCTGCATTTTGCCTGCCAGCAAAAGCAGGTCCTGGGTCGGAAAAATAGCCAGCCCCACTGCCCGGCTCTAAAAACTGCTCGTGCCCCTACACAGTCGTGAGGTTCATGACTCTTGAAGGCTCATCATGGAGGGTCTACAAGCCCAGGAACGCCTGGGAGAAGCGCTAAGGGCCCCCTACCAAGGCCACGACCCCACCCCCCAACCCCCCATAGATCAGGGGCCTGGGGGGGGGAAGGGCCAAATCAGCCCTTCAGGCCGGCCTCATGGGCTTAGGTGGGCTCCCCCCAGGCTGAAATGCGGGTTTCGGGGACCTCTTCCCAGGCAGCAGGGCCTGGACTACGTGACGCAGGTGGGCGCGTCCTGGTGCCACACGATGTGGACCACGCCGCGGGTTTACCACGCCGCCCGCTTGGAGGTGACGAAGGAGGACCAGTCGCTTGCCTCAAACCGATCTCAACCCAGCGGTTCTGTATGGAGACCTGGAGTCTACTTGGGGGTGGAGTTCCTTTTTTTTTCGGGGACCTTTGTTTTTGGTGGTTTTAACTGGAAGCCAAGAGGCAAACCAACCATTTTGTGAGCACCCAAAATCGTTGAGAATCATCTCGAAGTGCCCATGGAGTGCCCCCCCCCACCCCAAAAATATATGTTGGTTCCTGTCCTTTGGCTTCTGCTCCCACTGCGGATCTGCTGCCTGGGCGGTTGAGTGTGGCTTCCATGTCACTTCGGCATCTCCTCTCGGAACTGGCTTGTCCCATGCCACATCCGCGGGTCCGGGTCAAAGGGGCTGGAAGGCTGTTGACAAATCTTTCGCGGTGTCTGAAGGTTCCCCTTTGTCGCGGCTGTTCAAAGGTGATCCTTAATCCTTACCTTGGGAAACGCAAGGAGCCGGTCCCCTTGGCAGTGGCTTCCCTAATGGGAATTCGGATAGGCCAAGCCTCCATTTTGAACAGCCCAGTTTTTTTTCTTGTCTCAAAGGACAACCTAAAGGAAACCCGGTCCCCTATGGTTTTAGACACACCCCCTGAAGGCTCTTCGCCTAGCGTCCTCGGGCTGTCGCTTCATGTGCCCAGGTTGGAGATCGAAACCACCGCCGCGCGGCTCCGCGTGCGGCTGACGCCGCTGACGCCTACGGCCTCGGCTGCGCTGGAGGTGACTTTGCGCACCGCAGACCTCACGCTGGACGTGGCGTCTGACGGAGACGCGGCCGGAAGGCATCGCCTGAGTTGGAGCGCGTGCCTGGAGCGGGAGTGGGTACTGACAAGGTGGGGCCACCAAACGGCGTGTTTTTTTTTTTTGGGGGGGGGGGGCGGGTGCGCCTTTGAGTTGCTCCCAGTTTTGGTGCCTTTTTGGCCCATTTCAGCGGCTTCCCGGAAATGTGTGCTCCAGTTCCCCATTTATGTTGGCCGCCCTTTCTTCCTGGTGGTTGTTGGGAAACATTTTGATTTTTTGCTTATGGTGGTGTAGTGGGAAATCTCCACTGAAGGGAAATCCCCACTGACCTGCTAAGATGTAATTTTGCTCCCCTTCCAACGTCAACCTAGTTTTGGGTTGACATCTCCCCCCGGCTCGAAAGTTGGTGAAGTTAGGTGGCGGCTGTCCGCTTCGCTTGTGGAGCTCTGTGGTGCCTCGCTGCACCTCAACGCATCGCTCGGCTTCCCCTTGGGTTTGTGGGTGGCCAGCGAGAGCGAGTCCGCACGCTGGGCCGTTTGCGTGAAAAGGTGAGGCTCAGGGAAATGTTGGGTCGAAGTCTTGGGGTCCATCTGCTTCTAGGTCTCCCAGTAGTGCCCTTTTACCCTTTCGTGGGGGGTTCCCCTACTAAAATAGACTATAGATAAAAGGGCACCCTCGTTCTAACCTCTCTACTGGATGACCTAGGCTTACTAATCTCTTGACGCTGATGGGCTTCTCCCAGGCTTGTAGAAAGCCCTTGCGTCTACCCTGGGCTTACAGATGCTTCTGCTGGCATCGCGCCCCAAGAAAACTCGCACCCGAACCACGACCCCCAAAAGATTCAAAAGATCCTTCCGAACTCCGAACAGGCCCAAGGTGACCAGAGACCACCCTGCTGGCTTGCCTTCCTATGGCGTTTCCAGGTCGGGGTTGCAGGGGTTGCAGAACCTTGGGGGAAAAACCGAAAAAACGGCCGCGTGGCTGCCAAGTTCGCGGACTGTTGGGCTGCCTCGTAGTTGTTCACCTCCTGCCGTCCTTTGACAGCTCAAGCACCCTCACCGGGTGCTGTTGCAAGATAGCCTTTGAGCCCCCCGTGCAAATCGCACGGGTTTCGATACCGATCCTACATGTCAACGGGCAAACCCGAGAACGTTACACCTGGAGCTCCACCGAAGCTCACTGGCCCAAAGCGAATTCAATTTTTGACCTTTGTTTTTTTCTTCATGTTCTTTTTTGCTTTTGTTTAGTCATGGCCATCATGGCCCCCCAAAAACGTGAGCACCTCCACTCATTTCTGGGTCCCATCCAAAGCGACTGAGGAAGTGGGCGCGCCATCTTCTGGTGCTGCTGGGCATCGTTTTGCTGGTCTTCGTCTTTGACTCCTTGGTCTTTGGCTCGGTTCCACTGAGCCTGAAGCAGTTCCAGTGGAGCGCCTGCGACTTGGTCATCAGCTTCCTCCTGGGCGCGTGCGCGCTGCAGGCATACCTCCTCAAACGAAAGTCGCCAGAGGCCAGGACAGAGAAAGAGGAGAAGGAGAACGGCAATGGGAAGCCGCCGGCCAAAACGATGAGCAACATCAACAGGGAGCTGGACCGAGTGTCGCAGCAGGGGGCGAAGCAGGTGGAGGCGCAAGGGCGCCAGGTGTTCAAGCGAACGTGTTGTGCAAAGCCGGATGGCTCGCACTTGAAACGCCAACCGAACGGGGGTTTCCCAGTTTCGTTGCCTTTCCACAACGGCACACAATACATCAACCACCCCCCTGAGTCCCCTCCAACCTCCCCCACTTGAAGGGCTCCAAATAAGATACTTGACTGTCTGACCACCAAGAACAACGTTTTCTTCACCAGACCCAAAGGAAATCATCATTGCATAATTGCACATTGTGCTTGTTTTTTGCACAGTCCCCGGACCGATTCACAAAGTTCATGGAGTTAGCCCGTTTCGCCCCAGGCTTTTCCCCGCATTTTCCCAGGCCGTCCTCCGCAAGTTTGAGGGTGTGCCAGGGGCCCTGGATGCCTTGAGCTGCTCTGCTCAACTTTCGGCCCCGGCATTTGCCTGGGATGGCTGGGCTTGCCAGTTACCCAGATACAGCACTATTCTTGGATGTTCGAACAGGTGGCAAGTCCTTGGTTACCTACCTTTTCCAGGTAAATATCCATTTGCTTTTTCGACGACTGGTTGCTTCTTCTTTTTTGTTTGCTTCCCGTTCACGGCTGGGAATCCTGGGCGCTTTTTTGCCATTCGTATCCGGGTCCTTGGCTTGACCTTCTGTTTCCTGCTGGTGCTACCAGCTGGAAGCTACAGGAATTTCTACCGGAACTTGGGCAAACACTTGCCAAAACACACAAATGGGTTTCCACCGAGAAGGTGTAGAAAGAACCTGTGACCCTGAACTTGATTTTTTCCAGGTAACCCCGAATTGGTGGTTTGGATGGGTGGTTTGGGGGTTTAAACCGCCCCGCCTTAATCAAGCCATCAATCCAACCCACGAATTCTCATTTCCTGAGCTCCATTTTAGTGGAAACCACAAAGTTCAGACTTCGTTTGGGGCCATCCACACAAAAATGAAAAACTTGCTGGTGACATAGGAGTGGAAACCACACAGTTCAGACTTCGTTTGGGGCATTCCCATTCCACGCAGAAATTGAGAAACTTGCTGGTGCTCAGTTGGTAGCGAATGTAGCAATGAACCCAGGGTTTTTTTCTTGAGGGAAAGCACCAGTTGGATGTTTTATCGGTGTCATTCCTCATTCCCTGCTGAGAACCAGCAAGGGAATTGTGTTTTTTTTTTTTTTTGGGGGGGGGACGTTTTTTTTGTTTTTCTGGGCAATCCTCACAAAGAGTGAGACATTGGATTTTGGCTGGTGAAAAACCTCTCTGAGACTCTGAGGCTACAATCTGGTGATCCGCGCGCACGCCAAGGAGGGCAACCACAAGCGAGCCGGGGAGTGGATCATGCGCATGGAGGCGCGGGGTGTTGGGGTGTTGCTCGTTGCTCGGCGGCTCTCAAAAGAAGAGGCCAATCCCTCCCCAAGTTCTTGGGGGTTCTTAGGGTTTTTGGTTTTTGGGTTTCAGTGGGGGTTTCCATTTGACACACAAAGCTAAACTTTTAGGGGATCAGGCTAGAATTGGTGGTTTTCAACTTGAGGTTTCCCCTTTGAAACAAGCGACAAGGCTACCCTCCAGAAAGCATACGCCCTTTTGGTCGGATCTTTAGCATTTGATTCTATTGTACAGGCATGTTCCCCAACCAGCCAAAGTTCACAACTTGCTGAAGGGCCAATCGCCAGCAAGTGTGCCGACCTCTTGCGGTAGGCCATGAAGGCAAATCTGAAGGTTTGCTTTGACCAGGACCCGGGGCTGTTTGTCCTTTTGGCCTTGCCTTGTTGAACTCCCTTTTTTTCGTGGGCCCGAAAGGCGATTCACTTTAAAGCTAAGTCCGGGCCCCTTTTCCGGAGACCCCCTCCCCCTCAGCCGCCCGGGTTCAGCCGCCAGGAGCGGGGCATCAAGGCCACGGTTTCTTCATTGCTCTTGGCAAGTTGTGTCTTGTTTTGTTGTTGGTTCTGCTGAAGTGGTTTTGTTGTTTGTTGTTGTTTTATTTGTCGGTTCTGTTCATTTTATAGGTTTTTGGGGTCAAAAATGGGTACCCAACATGGAACCCTGGATGGAAACAAAGACCAAAACCGCGGAGCCCTAGCTCTTTATTAACCAGGCTCCCGCCTGCTGCCGCCGACCCTCGGCGCATTAAGGGAAAAGTCACAAGGACCGGTCCTGAAACACGTCCGCAAACCCAGGGACCACTTATAAGATCCTCTACGACCACAAACAAGGATTAACGGAAAAGTCAGAAATAGGGCAGCTAGTCCGTTAACTACCGCTTGGGCCGGCTTGCGCCCAAGTCACTTCGAGTTGGCCGGCTGGTCCCAGTCTGGCGCGGTTTGACTTGACGTATTGGACTCTCTTGCAGAATAGATCCAGGGATCCTCTACTACCACAAGGACGTCAATAACCGCACGGGCCGGTTTGGTCGCAGGGAGTGACGAGCTGGGACCCTGTCGTGCTGGGTGCCAGTCCGGAAAGGTGTCTGGAGCGGTTTGAGGTGGCACCACAGCAGTTTGAAGTGGGACTGATGCCAGCAGTCACACCAGGACTTGATCCACCGGCTTCCCAGACTGGTCCCAGGACCAAACCCCGAGTCCTGGGAGACTGGTCCCGGGACCAGTCCCGGACCAAACCCCGGTCCAGTCCCAAAAGCCGGTCCCAGGACCAGTTTTGGCTGACTAGTAATCTGAAACAGCAGAACCAGGGTCCCAGGACCAGTCCCAGGACCGGTCCCAGGACTGGTCCCAGGACTGGTCCCAGGACCGGTCCCGGGACCGGTCCCGGCCCATTTAGGTTGGGGAGCCCGTTTTTTTTTGCCCAGGCCATGGCCCGCTTGGGAACCGAGGTCTGCAGCTACAACACCCAGCTGGACGCCTGCGCCAAGGCGCAGAACGCCGAGGCCTGCGAGCGCTGGCTGCAGCGCATGCTGGACCAGGCGCATATTTTTGTTTTTGTTTTTTCCTTGTCTGCGACTTCGGCCTTCATACTGTGGATGGACATGGTTGAAACCATTGTTTGTTGGTATTTACAGGTGAATCATCATTCCAGGGTTTCTTAGGTGGTGCAGGATTTCGTCCACCCACAGTACCATGGTGGTTGTTGGGAAACATTTTGCATGTTTGCTTATTGTGGTTTAGTGGCTGAAATCCAACCACTTAACTGCTAACAGTTTAAATTTTTGCTCCCCTTCCAACGTCAACCAAGATACTGTGGATGGACGAAATCCGTTGGTACCATCTGAGAAACATGAGGATTCCCCGACGTAAATAGCAACCAACCTTATGATTTCAACCATGGTTTCCAAGCGGTGCGAAATGGTCTTCGTCCGACAGCGTATGGGTGTGTCGTTTTTTGTTTTTTTTTGGGGGGGGGGCTCCCATAAAATGGTGGGCGTTCCTTTTGATTGCCCTTCAAAACCACAAAAAAAGGGGCTTGAACCCATACGAAGTCCGGGTATGAGCCACTGGTCCATTGGTTAATTCCCCCCATGGCAAACGAGTCCCCAAACAAAATTTCATGGAACCTGCAAACATGTATTCTTTTGTGGCTTCCGAAGGAAAAGGCAATTGCCCAAAACTTGTGCCTACCAAGAGGTCCCTCTGGTCCCCCTCACATCCAGGCTGCTGTTGGGCGGGTTTAGGGTTGACTTTGAGTGGGTTTGGGTTGGCTTGGTGTGGTTAAGTGAGTTTTGGTCTCGTTTAGGATTGTTTTTGGGGGCGTGGCCCCCAACCACCAAAACTCGCCCACAACTCACTTTAACCACACCCCAAAGCAACCCTAAAGCCGCTAAACCAGCAGCACACCTTTCGCAAAACACACATCCCGTGGAATCAAGGGAACCCACCATTTACAAGGCAATGTTCAGGTGTATAATGCAATGCAAGGATCCCTGTTAAGCTTTAACGCCATTTGGATCGTTCGCCTTTCAGCTTTGGACCCTAAGGTTTTGTTTTTCCGCCTCTTCCACCTCTTCCACCTGCTGGTCCCCCCTTTTTCTTTTTTTTGCTTCTTGCACTCCGCAAAAGCCGCAGAAGCCGGACCGTTTTCTGGAAGCCGCCCGGCATTAGGAAGCCTGGTGCTTGCTTGCAGCTTGCCCGAAGTGCCGGTGCTTGGGAGCCGAGGATTTGGACGCTTTCCTGTTTGCCCTCTGGTTTCAGTTAGGGGGTTGACTAGAAGTTCCTTTCCACGGGATGACCCTTGAGGAAAATCACTAGAAACATGATATGTCCCGCTTTTTTTTGGACAAGCTAGCCATGATCATTTGCAGCAATAGCGTGCAGGTTCCAACCTTGTGGCTACCAAACGGAAGCCCTGCGGCAAGTTTAGGCAACAGGTGAGGGGCATGAGGGGCCTTCCTATTTTTTCTCCTCTTGGTTTTGCTTGAAGCCAGCACATCCTCAACCTCGTAAAATGATGCCCAGCTTCCGTTCGGTGTCAAGTCCTAGCTCCCCAGTAGTGCCCTTTTACCCTTTCTTGAGAGAGAGTTCCCCTACTAAAGTAGACTACAGAAAAAAAGGGTACCCTTATCCTGCTGATGGGAATTGAATCTATAGATCCAATGTACAGCAAGTTGGATGATTGGGGGTGGTGCCGACTCCATCCCTCAGTCCTAGGGAAATCCTTGTCTCATGGAAGAGGGACTCACACATTTGTGGGACCCAGTTTTTCCCCAAACTGATGGGTGAGGGGTCGAACAACGAACGGGTCCTCTTGTCCCCACAACCTCTCTATTTCCAGACGCATCCCCCAAGAGGAAACCAATTCACGTCTGCTTGGCCCAAAGTGCGGTTTCAGCTGTGCTTCAACAAGCACTTTTTCCCAGCCTTGCAGGATCCCTTGGTAAGAGCGGGTTGTTTTTGATGCATCATCTGTTTTTTTTGTACCCTTCACTCGGGCCCCAATGTAGGCTGAGCCCAAGATTCGCTTTCGGCGGCGCGGCGGCGGGTCTCGTCTCGACGTCCGGTCTCGTCGAGGTGGCAGCAGCGGATGGTGGCCATGGGCGTGGAGCCGGACACGGTGAGCTACAACTCCCTGATCCTTTGCTGAGATTTTTGTTTGGGGGGGGGGGGGCTGACATGTTTCTGGGCCATCCTCACAGGGAGTGAGACACTTGAAGCTGATTTTGGCTGGTGGGTCCACACCTCAGTTGTTCAGTGGCACCAATTCGTTTTCTTTTTTTTTGGTGGCTGCCCTCTTCCCCAGCTAATGGGTTTTCGGAATTAAACCACCAAAAGTTAAAAACATTCGGCAGGGGAGCAGAAAGCAACCGAGGATCCACGCCTGCGGCGTGCGGCCCGGAGTTCAAGCGATGCGTTGGGATGCGCAGGGCTCGTCGCTTTTTTTTGGTTGTGTTGGAGTCGGTGGGCCCCCTGCCCGGCCAAAAGCAATGCCCGTTGGGGCGTGTTGGAGTCGGTGGGTCGCCCCGCTTTTGTAGCTTGAAGAGGGAGCCTTAGGTAATCCCAAAAAAGGTGGGTATTGGTGGTTCGGGATTTGAAGCCTTGGTGTTTGTAGAGATGGGAACCGTTCGGGAAGACAGCCAAAGCACCGATTCGGCTCCACACCACGAATTAAAGGGAAGCTGAGAACCCAAAAATAATAATGCAGACTTAGTTGGGGGCACCCGGAGTTACTCACTTGGCCCGCATTCCCACATGGACCACCCCGCTGGGGTCGGGCTGAAAACCAGAAGAAGGATTCTCCTCAAAAGAAGCATGAGGTGTCCCTTTTTATTTTCCTCTCATGGTTTCTCTTCGGTCTCCGTGTAAAACAGGCTTTCCCTCGCAAATGATCTGTGCGGGGGATGCCCCAAAAAGAGACCTATTCCTACGCTCAACCAAGTCAGGGCACTCGTTTTGGGGTACAATCCCACCTGATCATACGGTATGAGAGGTTGTCTTGAGAAAGTTGAAAGGGAGTTTGGCCAAGTGGAAGGTTCCAGAAAGGGATTTGCGTATTTGGTTAGGTGTGTCTTTTTAAGGTTGGTCGCAGCAAAATGGTGGTTTTCCTTTGGATATTCTTTAGAACCACAAACAAACAAACAGGTACCCTCAAAGATTGTTTGTCCTTGTAGTATCTCGAGCTAGTCATTTTGGAATCCGTGGCGATTTTGAAGTGACGCCGCTGGGAGCTTAGGTTCTATGCATTCCATTGATTTGAAAATAATTCAAGCATGCAGCCAACCCACCCAGCCACGCAACCACGCAGCCAAGCAAACGGGGAACCAACCAAGCAACAGCCAACCAAGCAACCATCCATCCCATCCATCCATCCAACCTGTTCAACCTCTTCAACCAGCCAATTGACAGACCAGACTAGACCAGGCCAGGGCAGGCCAGACCCAACCCATCCCAACTTTAGCTTTTTTAGTCGGTTTAGTGGTTGGGTTTCCATTCAACCCACAAGTTAAACATAATTTTAGCCGGGGATCAGAAAACGGACAGCCCAGCCAGCTGCATGGTCCACTTCTCCGCTTCTCCGCTTCACCAGGAAGGGCAACCTTGAGGAGGCGGAGGCGTGGATGGAGGAGATGCAGCAGAAGGCCACGCGCGACTTTTGTCTTTGCCCCGCTTAGCAGCCATGATGCACGAAATCCTGCACCACTGGGAAACCATAGAAACCATTGTTGGTTGGTACGTGCAGGGGTTTCATCATTCCAAGGTTTCTTAGGTGGTGCAGGATTTCGCCCATCCACAGTAGGTCCCCGTTGTGGCTTGGTTTTTGAATCTGAAGGTTGATGGATTCCTCCCGTGTTGGTTCTTGATTTAATGGATGGATTCCAAGGAACTCGCCCAACAAACCAGTGCCGTGCCTCTATTTGTAAATAAATAAATAAATATATAAATGCAGCACATGCAAAAAGCAAGAACTCGACTAACAAGATAGGCCTAGAACTCCGTGTGAATGAAGCTTTAAGCTCCTTATAAAACTGACGCTAGACTTCCTGAAGCAGGAGTCCATGACGGAGCCTTCCAGAAGCTTCGTATAAAGCTTCTTGCCAAGCTCCTCCTTTTAAAGCTCCTAAGCTTTGTATAATGCTTGTAAACCTCCTTCTTACAAGGCTCACTATGACTCTTTATAAGGCATACGGCTCCTTATAAGGCTCTTTATAAAGCTCCTTGTAAATCCCTTTGTTTCCTGAGGTCACCTTTCCTGGCATGTTTACCCTCGGTTTGCCATGTTTTTTCTTCTTCTTTTTTTCTGCGGACAGCATCAGAAGCTGGCCAATAAGGGTCTTCCCGGAAATCGCGGGGACCCTGCAAAAAGGACGGCTTGTCGGGTTCCATGTGAATTTGTAGCGTCTGACCCATGGTATGTTGCCTCGGCTGAAGCCCTGCAACTCGGTTGAAACCAGAACCTTCGTTGGCATTTACGTTGGAGAATCGAATCAGGTTCCAGCGTTTCTGAACAGTGCCGCGAACAAATTTTGCTTCCTGATAGGGAGGTTTGTTGAAACCGCCAGCTTGCACTTCTGGGTTTGAAGGCAGGTTACTCAGCAAGTTCGCAGCCCTCATGAGTAATGTCCCTTATGTGGATCATCCCGCGGACGAGTTGCCAATCTCTTGCCAAGTAGCCTGCCCCCACAAAGGTAACAAAACCACAGGGGCCCTTTGAAGGAGCGCTGGTGGCTTCTCGTCAGAGGGTGTGTCCGATGTGTTCGAAGTCAACAGCCTCCCGCAAAGAGCTACCCCGGGTTAAAAGGGATACGCAGCCACTACACAACCCGCTATACAGCTTGATTGCTATTGGGCCGGGTTCTTTAGATATTTTTTGATTGAGGGGAAATCAAGCGTTCTCCATTGAACCGACAGAAGGTGACAAACTTGTTGCAGAGGGGCTGTTCAGCAACCAAGATAAAGGGCATAATTAATAGTTGTACCTGTTTTTTGTTGCAGCTGCAAACTTGCCTTGAGAGTGGTGAGTAAACCTTGGCTTGAACCAGGTTGCTCCCCCTGTTTTTCTCGATTATTCTAAGGGGTGTAACTCATGAAACCTCGGGATCATAAATCACACATTGACATCACTGCAACCTTGGCAGAAGGCAAGCAACCGACTTGGTAAAAAAAAAGCCCAAAAAAAAAAAACGGCCATCGGGATACTGATGGTTTCTTGGGATACTGAATGCAACCTTATTAAGTCCACTCCGGGGCTATGCTCCGAATTTCGTTCCAACAAGGGGGGGAGAAATCCGGTTGGGCCCATGGCAGGCCTCCCCAGCTGCGCGATTCGTTTTTCCGCCTTGCACGCTCGCGGCATGGAGTCGAGGGGCTGGAGCCCAGCGTCACCACCTTCGGCGCTCTGATCGACGCCGCGGCGAAGGCCGGGGACTTGGACAAGGCGGAGCTCTGGATGCGAGACATGCTGCACCGAGGCCAGGCGCCTTGGGGCCTTGGGGCGGCGGGTGGCTGGGGTGTTCGGCCAGGTTAGCAAGTGGCCACTCTTTTTAGAAGGAGACTAACTGCACTTGGAAGTCTTATAAGTAGGTTAAAATGACCCAAGTTACCAACAACTTGCTAACTGGGTTGAACGGCCAAGTGTGGAGCTTGCGTTTCGGTAGCGAAAAAGGCGCTGAGATGCCTTTCGATAAGGTCCTGACGCAGGCGACAGGGAGTTTCTTTGGAGGTGCGAAATGGATTTCGTCCATCCACGGTATGCTTCCATTTGCTTAAGAATATGTTATATTTCCCTTGTTGGTTTTAAAGGGAATCTATCACTACTGGAAATATATATTTTTTCTCCCAGGGGTCTTATATGGTTGGTTAGCCATGCCCCAAAATCCAGGGGAAAACGTAAAAAGAGAGATGGCCTTCCCAGTAAATGGGAGAAGTTCGCCATGGTCACTTGGGGGTAGGAATATTGATCAACCGCCATATCACATTAAGCAACAGAACGCATGTTTTACCCCCCCCACCAACAAAAGAAACACATAAGAAGAACAACAAACGAAACAAAAACAAAGACATGAAAAAAGAAACACCAACCATCGACAACATGTCAACCCCCCCCTTTTTGCAAAGAAAGCAAAAGAGAACCCCCCCCTCCCCCCCGCCAAGAAAGCAGAAGCCCCCCCCCCACGCCAAGAAAGCAAAAGAGAACCCCCCCCTTTTTCGCCAAGAAAACAACAGAGAAGAACCAAAAAAGCAGCAACACCCTCCCCCTCCAATGGTCCAAGGGGCTGGTGAGGCATCGAGCCCTCGGTGGTGTCCTTCGGCGCGGTGATGAACGCCTGCGCCAAGGCCAGCAGCTTGGAGCGGGCGGAGTTCTGGCACCAGGAGATGATCGAGGCCAAGGTGAAGCACCTGGGACCTCTGAAGCGGAGAGGGGGGAGAGGGGGAGAGGGGGAGAGGATCCCCCCTACCTTAAAAATAAAATTGAGGGGGTGGGTAAGGTCTATAAAATAAAATTCCCGGGGGCTTCAACATAAGCAGTCTGAACAGATCAGGTATGATTAGGTAGATTTGGGATGGACCTTGTTTTGGACATACCCTTGAGATACCTCTTGCAAGCCAAGACAGCCCAAACCCTTTGACCAGCTTCCGCGGGGGCTGCCAAAGATTGATTATTTGTGATTGCTTCAGCCTTCAGCTACATAGACCAATGGTGTTTGGGCCACGCCTTTTTGGAGCGCAAAGGGGAGGGCATCGCTGGTGTGAGGGGATTTGTTGCATTTAGGATTGATAGGGGGCGAAGTTAGTTGGTGATACGTGCATTTCAGTGAGATGTCCGGGCAAGTGGCCGTCGAATTCTCCGCTATTACTCCTGTGGCCGACCGGCTTGCGCCCCAGCTTTACTTGGCACAGAGACGCAGCACTGCAGCACCTATCTTCTCCCAGCAAGTGAGCGTTTGAATCATCTTGATGCTTGATGATACTGTCAAGCTCCAGCAAAACAATCATGCCAATCTTGCTCAAAGAAGTTGCGAGCTTCGCTCACAACTGTGTACGCCACGCAGCGAGCGCGGTGCAAGTGTTCATGCCCGTCATCTCAGGCTGGGCCTTGCCTCAGACGTTAAACTCATGAGCCCGGCACATCCCGTGGTGGTGACTTTGTCACAGAAGTCAACATTCATTTTGTAAAATTTGGCAAGCACTTGTTTGAAGGGAACGGTGGATTGGGAGAGAGACATGTTGAGTTTTGGCCATGCCTTGCATGCTGTGTTTTTCTGTGTTTTCCTTTTGACAGGCCATCTTCGGGGACATTCCGGCCTGCTTGATGCCCCTCGGCTGACGTCGATGTTGAGCTTCTGTTGGGCCGATGTCTGATTTTTGAGGGCAGCTGCAACTGCTGGTCAAAAATCACCAGCTGTAGACAAACACATTATGTCAACTGCATGCAGCCCCTTGTGTCTACCGAGTTGACAACGCAGTCCGAGTTGATTTGGCATTCTGGGATCTGAGTTCCCATTTTTCTCGGGAGGCTGGCGCTGACGTTAGCAATCCTGGCACCAATTTTTGGAGAGGGCAGATGGCAGATGGGATAGATGATTTTGGGGCGTGGGCGCTGATGCGGGGCGCCTCATAAAACCTTCTCAGACCATCACTTGTTCGAAGCAAGCTCCACTTGTTCGCTTTCCTTTTTTTGTTTTTGGCTAGCTGTGGCAGCAATTGCTTTGGGGCAATTGTTTTGGGCGATGAGGGCAGATGGGCCAGGTTGATTTGGGAGGCGGAGATTATTCCCGAAAGCATTGCGGAGACATTTCGCCTAATCCTCTCTCTCGAAAAAATCCGTTCCTCCCCCCCCATTTGAAAAAACAACATCGGAGGGAGTGAAAGGGGTCATCGGTTTTTGCTTTAGATCTAGTTGATGGCTTGCTGGTTAGTATTGGACTTGCATTGGAAAGTGGATCCATTGTGGGTCCCTTTGGTTTGCAGGAGAAAATGCTCACATTGCAACTTCTAAATAAGAACTTTGAAAGGGACATTCCCCTTGGACAATTCTTGGCATGTTTGGGGTTGGCGCACAGACTCTGATAGTAAACTTGTTTTGGGGTGGTGATTTTTGGCTTGAGGAGGACAGCTCTTTTGAGTGTGCTTGCGTGAGCGTGTTTGCTGCGCAGGCCCCAGTATAATGAAAACAATGTGGACCCTAGGAATAAGACCTGTTTGGGGAGAAGACCTGTTTGGGGAGATGCCCTTTTTGTTTTGGGAAGATTCTTGGCTGGGGGGTCAGCCAGCTTGAGATGCTTAGGATGAGGGGCTTGGTTTGTTGGACACATAGCTTGGAACCTTCTTGTTTCAACACATTATGGAGGGGGGGGGGGCCTGATAAGCACATTGTGGGAGCTTGGTGGAAAACATGTGTGGTCTCAGGAGTTTAGTATTGACATGTATTGACTTAGCGTTGGCTATTTTAAAATTAGCATTTGCGACGTTTTGGTGCGGCTGAGAGGACTTTTTTTTATTAGAGGTTGGTTGGTTAAAGAGAAGAAGGGGTTGGAGCTCGAGCGCTGTGTGGGAAATAGGCTGGGCTGAATTTCTTAGCAAACGTTTCCGGGCAGCCTCTTAATTTCTTTACTCGGCAAGTTCAGCCCCTCAATTTCTTGCACAATGATTTCTTACACAGTGCTCGCGCTGTATCTTCGCCGGCTTGCCTCTGGGGTAGGTAGCCCACAAGAGGCCTGTGCCATCTTAAAGGGGTACTGTTTGGGCACCACTTTTCAAGCCCCTTTGAGTGGGGTAGGCGGGTTGGGAATCACCAGGTTAAATTGGCTCCAAAACTCTAAGTTCTTCAGCTTTCGCCGTGAAGCCTGGTTGTGAGGCGTAGGACATCTCAGGGTGAGCAGACGAGCAGCCAGTGGAATGAGAAGCTCGGAAGCGGGAGGGCTGTGCGGCTGTCCGGCACCGCCGCAAGGCACGATGGACATTAGCTCTGCGGACGTTGCTGCCGCACACGAGCTTTTCTTGCTGGGGCGCTTGACAGACGGAAAGACGGGCGCCTGCCCGACGCTTCGTCCAGACGAGGTGATCGAGCGCCAATAATTCGAGCAGCGGGCTCAACTTGCCACATTTCCGAAGGACCCCTTGGCGAACAACTTCTACGACGACGTACGATGAGCAGACGCCAGATTTACGCCGAGCCAAGGGCAACAACCGCTCTATACGCTGGAAACCTGACTCGAAACTCAAGAGGGGAATCGCCTGAATGGAGTTTGTTCTAAGACTGACGGCTCCCTGGGGCTCCATGTTGATCTGGGGAGCAAACATATGACATATCACAAGGACCTGATTGACTGAAGACGTTGATGTATCAATTAAAAGGAGTTCGCTGCCCGAAAGGAACTGCTTGCAAAATACAAAGTCGCATTGAAAGGGATTTGAGTGCTTGAGCCCCCGACGGATGTCTCAGGGGATTTCAAGGACTCCCACCAAGAGTGAGTCAAACCTGGGCCTTTTTTTGGGGCCATCTCTCTCTACCTTAAGGCGCCGTAGGCAATCAGCAAATCACGTTCTTTGGCGAGGTCTGCTTGCGAGACAGCGCTGGCACATTTGGCAGCGCGGCTGAGGCCGAAGAGAGTTTACCGAGCCGTCAAGGTAGGTCGATGGTGGTCGCATCTTTGCAAGCTCCCACACGTATTTGGATGGTGATGTCGCGCATTGTCGCCCAAAGAGTAACATTTCAGATTGAGGGTTCTGACGACGCAGGTGGTTCAGCAGTTCATGCAGTGCGTGTGTGTGTGTGGGTGGGTGCGTGCGTGCTTGCTCCTTGTTCTTCATCATGTCCACAGCTCATATCTAAGCACAGTCCCCTTGCTTAAAGCGCCAGGGCCTGCAAGGCGACGCCGGGGCCGGGTCACTGTGAGTCTGGGGATGCTTTCGCGGAGCACATTTTGCAAGACAGCCTCAGATTGGGAAACAATTGGGCCCAGACTGGGGACTGGCGAAACTTGGGGACCGAAAGGTAGGAGGGATAATCGGTTTGCTCAGCTTAGGATCTTCCTTTTGGTTTCCATAAAAACATGTGAAAACCAAGGCTCGTTACTTACGCGCGGGGCATCGCAGGGCTGCCTGGAGATTCCGAAGCCTTGCCTTAGCCGAGCTTGGCTCAGAGTTCGGTTTTTCTGGAGGGAAGTCGACAGACGCGGATCTAGCCAGGTAATGGTATGCGCGACAGACGCGCAGGATGCAACATTAGTCACCAGTCTCCAGGGCACGGACCCAGAGTGGGCGAAACCTTCATCATTTTCAAGAGCCCGTAGAACAAAACCACGTGTCTCTCTACAACTCTCTGCAAAAGCACAGTTTTCAGCGACTTCGCTGCTTCGGACTTGTCGATGAAGTACAGCGCTGTACCATAGACCACGATCAGCTTCATTTTGCTTCGATTCGAAAATTGTTTCACCACGTTGGCATTGTCGCCGGCGCGCACGCGTGATGCCGATCGCTTGCGCAAGCGTGCGAGAAACGTTCGTCGGCGCTCCGGCGACCTGGGCCAGCGTGCCAAGCGAAGGTTGCTTCATGGACGCAAAGACATGCAAAGACTTTCGACGCAATCACTCGAAGAACTTGTCGCCAGCCTTGTCGCCCTCATCGCGCGACGTGGCCTCGTCGCCGGCGCGCCGGCGCTGGCGAACACACGCATCATCGTGCATCGCTGATCGTCGGTGCGTCGCCGCAGTTTTGTCGAAATACAGCGTTGAACCATACAGACTACGGTCGATAAAACATAATTCGATTATGCAAAATTCTTTGCTGGCTTGGCATCCTTTCGCCGGCGCGCAAGTGCGAAGCCGGCCGCAAGCGACGCGAAAAGCATGCGCCGGCGCGCCGGCCACGTGGGACACGACACTTTGCATTTAATGTAACCAATATTAACGAATCTGTTCGATTCGAAAAGCTGGCGCAAGGTATCGCGCAAGGTATCGCGCGCCGGCGCTCGCGAACACATCATAACACGTTGATGATCGTCGCTCATTGCCGCGAGCTTCGTGTCAACATACAGCGTTGATTACGCAAGTTTTGCTTCGACATTAAAGTCGTTTTAATTTCGTTAGCAGGGTCGCCGGCGCGCAAGCGTCATGCCGAGCGTCCGCCGGCGACGTCGGACCACGTGCCAAGCACACGTGTGTGACTCGACGTCAATGTATGTTTGCGTAATTGTGTATTCTTTTTTCTTAATACATCGAAAGATAGCCACGACACTTTGCATTCACTGTAGCCCATAATTTGAATTCGAAAAGTTGGCGCGAAGTATCACGCAAAACTTGTCGCCGGCGCGCCGGCGCTCGCCAAAACAGTCGCTGCATGGCGTCAAGCTTCGTCTCGAAATACAACGTTGCTTACGCAAGTTTTGCTTCGA